AGAAAAATGACAGGATGGATAATGAGAACCTTCAAAACGAGGGATGCCAAGCCCATGATGACACTCTTCAGGTCACTTGTTCTATCTAGGCTGGAATATTGCTGCACACTAACAGCACCTTTCAAGGCAGGTGAAATTGCTGACCTAGAAAATGTACAGAGAACCTTCACGGCACGCATAACGGAGATAAAACACCTCAATTACTGGGAGCGCTTGAGGTTCCTGAACCTGTATTCCCTGGAACGCAGGCGGGAGAGATACATGATTATATACACCTTGAAAATCCTAGAGGGACTAGTACTGAACTTGCACACGAAAATCACTCACTACGAAAGCAAAAGACTTGGCAGACGATGCAACATCCCCCAATGAAAAGCAGGGGTGTCACTAGCACATTAAGAGACCATACAATAAGTGTCAGGGGCCCGAGACTGTTCAACTGCCTCCCAGCATACATAAGGGGGATTACCAACAGACCCCTGGCAGTCTTCAAGCTGGCACTGGACAAGCACCTAAAGTCGGTTCCTGATCAGCCGGGCTGTGGCTCGTACGTTGGTTTGCGTGCAGCCAGCAGTAACAGCCTGGTTGATCAGGCTCTGATCCACCAGGAGGCCTTGTCACAGACCGGGCCGTGGGGGCGTTGACCCCCGGAACTCTCTCCAGGTAAACTCCAGGTATCATAATGACACCAAAAGTATGAAATTTGATTGAAAACTTGCGGAGTTATGCTCTCGCGAAGTTAGCGGTCTCGACGATGTTTACGCATTGGCGATTTCGCCCACTTTGAGCCCTACTTTTGGCCAATTCCAATGTACCATTCAACAAAAATCATACCTATTTTGCTAGAACTCCACTTTTTCTATCGAATGAGTACAAGAAACCACCCATTTACTGATTTCAACTAACCAATAACAAGATGCCAATTCACAAGATGCCAATTTCCAAATAGGGTCCAGAATAAACAAGACAGACATTCCTGGCACTAAAATAACATTTCCTCAGTTCATTACTCACGTCCCCAGGCCTCTGTTTCATTTCTTTTGCTTTCCACTTTGAATTTTTATTCTCACAAAAAATAGAAGATTTATGTTATGCAGACTACTGCATTAGTGTAAAGTGGTATAAATAATATCAGCACACTTGTGAAAGTATATTAGACTCGCCAGTTGATGTGTATTGGACGCGTGGCATTTGTTTACATTTGAACTTTGGCAAAAATCGAACATTTCTGCTACTTTGAGCTCAATTTCTAGGTACTTTTCATTGTGCAACCAATCAAAATCATCTCAATTTCCATAATATGTCTTCCATTCTATAAAATGAGACCAGGAAAACTAGAATACAACCATAAATGGCATACGAAAATACAATGGACCCTTGAATTTAGTAGTGCCGTTTCTGTAAGCAAAACTATTTTTATCTTTAAAATGTATTTTATGTTAATTTTTTTGGGTGTCTGGAATGGTTTAATTGGATTTACATTATTTCCTATGGGAAATATTAACAAAAAATACATTTTATAGATAATAAAAATAGCTTTGCATACAGAAACAGCACTACTAAATTTGAGGGACCACTGTACACTGCAAAGTCGATGTTTTAAACCAAAAACACGGTCAGAATTTTTTTTTCTCATTATGCACTGTGTGCTGCAGGATTTTTTTTTATACTGCGCACATCCACCACATATACACATTCTTTCATATGTAGGCCTACCAGCTTTCTCTCACTAGATTTGAAGGCGCTAGAATTTATGCGTACTAGTACGGCACCAACCCCTGGCGTGCAAGCCGTACTAGTACGGCATCAACCCTGAGAGGGTTAAGTGAGGAGCATACTATAATGGTAGCGACTTCGTGTCAACCATCTTAGATATTGTTTTAATATCACCTTTGCACCATTTATAACTTATATGTTATATTTTTAAATATTTATGCAGTATATTTAAATATACAGAATAAGGAAATCAGCTTTTATATACATTATTTAGGCATGAATAGTGGTCAGAGAGCTCGTCATAAATCTGAGGCGTCGGTAAACGAGTACATCGCTAAGTGAGAAGAGGCTGCATATATATATATTTTTTTAATACAGACCATCTGTCACTGAGGTAAGGTGACCCTCTTCTCCCCAAAAATACATACACTGACCATCATTCATTCAACAGAATGGAATTTTTTTTGCTCCATGGAGCAAAACTCTTCTCCAGGCTGAGGGACTGACTACCTCAAAACTGCATCTTCAATGGTGATGGACAGATGACATCATCATTACATCTCTACTGCTTCTGTTGCCTCTTCTGTACTCGACTAACGAAGCCTACTTTGTAGGTGAAATGTTTTAGAATGAAGATACCTAATTGTTGCACGTGTCTTCTTATCAACCTGTCTGTATTGTATACCATTTTAATATTCACAGTCAGTCTCTTCAGACCAGGTCTTTGTCTCAAAACAGGCCTTGAGGCAACATATAAAGATCTTGGGCTTAGTCTCAGGCAATCTGGACTTGGTCTTGATCTCAGCCTCGGCATGCTGGGTCTTCTTCTTGGTCTTGATAACAGTCAACATCCAGATTGGTTGTTCATGAAAGGTCTCAAGATTATCATGTTTCCTTGATTGTTACATATCCTTTATTTTTATCTTTCATAATTCATGTGAATTTTTATGCAGCACAGAATAAATTTTCCTTTAATATTTTGTGTATTTTCTTTATCAAAAGAAGAATAGTTTTCAAGTAATAAATAGCTGGCATTATCATTATTTTTGTTGTTGAGGCTAATGTTCTTCTAGCAAAAATTAATTTAGTTTATAAGGTTGGTCACAGCAACAACAACAACAACAACAACAAAAAAACAAAACAGGTCTTAATCTTTGTCTCAATATGTCTGAACTCAAGCTAAATCTTGGTACATTTAGTGTCAGTCTTGGTTTGTTTGGTCTTGACTACCTCTCTGCTATGAACCCTTGTGCAACAGTTGAGTATCTTTATTGTTGAAATGTTTCTCCTACAAAGTAGGCTTCTTCAGTCAAATTCAGAGGGAGCAGATGCAGTAGTGAAATAAAGATGATATAATCAGTCCATCAACCTTGGAGGAAAAGCATTTGATGTGGTCATCCCTTCAGCCTGGAGATGAGTTCAGCTCCATGATCTGGAATGACATGAAGCTGAAGCATGAGGACGGATTCTTATACTGTCGAAGGTGAGGTGGAAGACCTCGAAGACATTGTAGGGGACAGGATTCACTAGTGGAAGTAAGAAGGCATGTCCATCTGGAATCCAACTCTTCTCACTCATAACTAGTAGATACATAATGAAGAATGGAAGATGTCCTCTGTACCAAGATACCTTTGTGCTGCAGTTGATGGACTGATTACATCATCTATATTTCAGTACTGCACCTGCTCCCTCCAAATTTGACTGAAGAAGCCTACTGTGTAGGTGAAACGGTTCATCAATAAAGATACCCAACTGCTGCACATGTGTCTTAATCTTCAACTTGTTGGTATTTTTTACCATTTTCAACAATACTATCACACACTGCAGCACAAAGGTATCTTAGTGCAGAAGACACTTTCCATTCTTCATTACGTATCTACCAGTTATGAGTGAGAAGGGTTGGATTCCAGAAGGACCTGCTTTCTTACTTCCATTAGTGAATCCCATCCCCCTACAATGTCTTCGAGACCTTCCACCTCACCTTCAATGGTATTTAAGAATCTGTCCTCATGCTTCAGCTTCATATCATTCCAGATCATGCAGCTGAGCTCTTCTTCAGGCTGAAGGGATGACCACCTCAAATGCTTTTTCTCTAAGGTTGATGGACTGATTACATCATCTATATTTCAGTACTGCACCTGCTCCCTCCAAATCTGACTGAAGAAGCCAACTGTGAAGGCGAAATATTTTGTCAATAAAGGTACCCAACTGCTGCACGTGTGTCTTAATCTTCAACTTGTCATTATTTTATACCATTTTCAACAAGAACCTTTTTCATTATGAACCTATTATTTAATTTGCCTTGTAATAGAAATGGGCAGCTTCAGGAGGATGAGATGAAGCGTAGTAAGGATGTATTTTTGCCAGCCGAGATGCCCACTGAGCCAGTAGTCATGCCTTCCCTAGGGGTGTAATTCTATACTTGTTCTTCACATTTGTGCCTGATTACCTCCCATACCTCAGAAGTTGTACAACCTGAGTGGACTGAGTGCTTCCCTATGAATATAATAATCTGTACTCCATTGATTGTTGTAAGATAAACATGTAAAAGGTATCTGAACATTAAGTACAGACAGTAGTAATGAATGTAGTGTATTAGGTAATCATGTGTATCAATAAAGAGGATAGGAAATACATTATCTGACAGAAAGTAACATTACTACAGAAACTAGAAAGTGTAGTGTTGCTAAGCACATGATAGGATATGATGTTGGTTATCAAGTGGCGACATCGCTACTTGGAGTCACTAAAAAAACAAGATTTGGAAAGAATATAACTTGCCTTAGCAAGTTTTATTCTTTGCAAGCATTTATAAGGTGGCAAAGTAAAACAAAAACAAAAATTAGAGAGTAAAAAAAAAATAAGGACAAAACTATAAAATATGAAAGTGAATTTTTATTTTTTTATTTTTGAAGTAATGTGGAGGTATGAAGAACATAGGATACCATTTAGTGGCACAACAGTGTGTCGTAAAATAAAATACATCCTTCATCTAGATGTGGTATCCTAGTTAAAAATGATATGAAAACAGAAAAAAAAGAGAAATGCAGTAAAATGAGATCCTTACTGACAATGTTTTGCCTACACAGTGGGCTTTATCAAGTCACAAACAGATGCATTATACTGCATTTATCCCTTTTTTTCCATCATGGTATTTTATATAATTTCTCCAAATATGCTAAACATTTACCAGTGGAAAACGTCTGCATATGGCTCTTTAAAAAACTGGAAATTTTCTTCACACACCTTTGAATATTCCATGAAAAACACTGGCTCACACTTACTTTCATTTTTTTTAATGCTTGAGTCAGCTTGTCAATCATAAGGTCATTATCTGAGGCAACAAAAACACTTTTTGCCCCAATTGACTTAGCAACACGCTTCAGTTTCTTGATAATTGAGTTTTCTGAAGGAAGACAAAGTTGTAGTGTAGCTACCCCATGTTCATTACGGTAGCCCAAGCATTGGGGTGCAGCAAAAAGGTTGGGGCTGTGTTCCACATGTTCACATGCTCGCACCTGAAAAAAAAAAAAAAAAAACATAAAGGTTAATTGTTACAATAACATATGTAACACAACATAATTACATTAATTTACGGTTTAGAAAGACACGTAAGCAAACACTATAACATATTTATTAGAAAACGTTTCGGTCCTGGGACCTTGATCACTTCTAACATACAGAGGTAGAAAGACATTATATATATATAGGCGGAGAGTGAGATGTGACGCACGTGACCTGAGGAATGTCATAAGAACATAAGAATGGAGGAACACTGTAGAAGGCCTACTGGCCCATGCGAGGCAGGTCCTTATCAAAACAACCTCTGTCTATGATGAGGACCAGTAGACGATGAAATCATGTGACTCCTGTGTTGTTGGGTTGGTGCTGCTTAAGTATCATGTATGCCAATGTTTTTGAAATTTTGTAGTTTCCAGTGTTGCGTTCTATAGTGTCGGTGACGGTGATTAGTGAGGCTTCTAGGCACCGTCGGCGTCTGAGGTCTGGTTCGGTGAGAACGAGTTGTGCCTCGTTCCAGTTCATCAAATGCCCCGTTGAGTCTCTGTGGAGGACACAGGCGTACCTTACCTTATGTAGGCGAGACAGGCAGAGATCTTGCAGTCCGCCTGAATGAGCATCGAAATGCCTCTAACAGAGACGATGTAAGGTACGCCTGTGTCCTCCACAGAGACTCAACGGGCATTTGATGAACTGGAACGAGGCACAACTCGTTCTACCGAACCAACCTCAGACGCCGACGTGCCTAGAAGCCTCACTAATCACCGTCACCGACACTATAGAACCAACACTGGAAACAAAACAAAATTTCAAAAACATGGCATACATGATACTTAAGCAGCACCAACCCAACAACACGGGAGTAAACATGATTTCATCGTCTACTGGTCCTCATTATAGACAGAGGTTGTTTTGATAAGGACCTGCCTCGCATGGGCCAGTAGCCTTCTACAGTGTTCCTCCATTCTTATGTTCTTATGACATTCCTCAGGTCACGTGCGTCACATCTCACTCTCCGCCTATATATATATAATGTCTTTCTACCTCTGTATGTTAGAAGTGATCAAGGTCCCAGGACCGAAACGTTTTCTAATAAATATGTTATAGTGTTTGCTTACGTGTCTTTCTAAACCAACTTGTCGGTATTTATTACCAAGGTTTATACCACATTAATTTATAAATGTCATTTTCTGTGGATTAAAGCGAAGACGCATAGTAGCAGTTCTCCTACATTTTATAAGCTACCAAAAGTAATCCTAACTTTATTTATAACCAAATATGTTGTAGCAAAAATCTTTCTCAGTAATTATGCAAGAGAATAGGAAGAGTGAACCACAAGACAGATTGTGTACTTGAACTCAGATGCAATTTTTTTCTTTTAACTCGATGGCTGACTCCTGCCAAGGCAGGGTGACCCGAAGAAAACACATTCGTTATTATTCACTCAACTGCTGTCTTACCAGAAGTGTGTTGATATCACAATCAGATTACCTTCCAACTGCAACATCCCCACCTTTCCCTTGGTAAACACATTGCCCTTTCCATCTTCAGGACTCAAACCTGGCTAATCAGTTTCCCTGAATCTCTTTATAAAAGTTACCTTTCTCACATTCCAGCAGCATATCCATTAAAAACCACTCCAATCTACTATGTTCACACAAGCCTGTTATATGCTCAAACCTCTTTTGCCACCTCCAACCATCCTGGGATGACCCCTACTCTTCCTGAGTTTCATCCCAGATTTATATACCTTTTTCATCATACTATCCCTCTCCACCCTCTCTACATGCCCTAACCACCTTAACAATTCCTCCTCACTCCTCTGTATATCCCCTTGGTGACCTTGCACTGCCTTTTAATTTCAACACTCCAAACTCTGCATAATATTCACACTATACATTGCCCTCAAACATGATATCTTTGCTGCCTCCAGCCTTCTTTAAGCTGCAGCATTCAAAACTCTTGACTCATGCCCATATATAAGTGTTGGTACTAACAGCTCCATTCAAGGCAGGTGAAACTGCAGATCTAGAGAATGTACAGAGAACCTTCACTGGACATTTAAGTTCAGTCAAGCATGTTAATTACTGGGAACGCTTGTAGTCACTTTACCTGTACTCCCTGGAGCGCAGGCAAGGGAGATACATTATAATCTACACCTGGAAAATCCTAGGGCTACTGGCCCCAAATCTGCACACAGAAATCACTCCCTATGAAAACAAAAGACTGGCCAGACTGTGCAACATCTCCCTCCAATGAAAAGTAGGGTGCCATGAGTACACTAAGAGAAAACACAATAAGTGTCTGAGGCCCAAGACTGTTCAACAGCCTCCCACCATGCATAAGGGGAATTACCAATAGACCCCTGGCTGCCTTTAAGAGGGAGCTGGACAGATACCTAAAATCAGCACCCAACCAGCAGCCAGGAGTAACAGCCTGGTTGATTAGGCCTTGATCGACTGAGAAGCCTGGTCAAGAACTGGGGTGTAGGGGGTGTTGACCCACAGAAAACCTTCCAGGTAGGCTGGTATATTCCTTTTAATGCCTCCCTACACAAACTTTCTATCCACAGATGCTGTGACACACTACCTACCTTTATCCATTTATCTATTCTATGGCTCACCCATCTGTTGACAAGTCCACTCTCAAATATCTAAATGCATTCACTTCCTCCACACTCCCTCCCTAGAATCTGATATTCAATCTATCATTGCCTAAATAACAAAAAAGGCACAATACAGTGGCTGGAACGATACACAAATAACCCACACATAAAAGAGAGAAGCTTACGACGACGTTTCGGTCTGACTTGGACCATTGACAAAGTCACACGACTTTGTCAATGGTCCAAGTCAGACCGAAATGTCGTCGTAAGCTTCTCTCTTTTATGCGCGGGTTATTTGTGTACATTGCCTAGTTTTATCTTCATCTTTCCTACACTCACTTTTAGTTTCATTCTTTTATATACCTTCCCAAATTAGTCTACCAACCTTTGCAACTTGTCTTCAGAATCAGCTATATAATATGTATTTAAAGAGTTTATGCAAATCCAAAATTTGTATGAAAAGAGAAGAAAAAATGGAAACAGGAATGAAAAAAGTGGAAAAAGAAGGTGCGAATTAAAAATCCCTTAGCTAATAGTCAAAATACTGGAGAAATGAAAAGTATCTGATTTTTTTTTTTAACACAACGGCCATCTCCCATCAAAGAAGAATAAAAAATTAAATAATTTTTATTTATTAATTTTTATTTATTAACACATCGGCTGTCTCCCACCAAGGCAGGGTGGCTCGAAAAAGAAAAATTTTCATTCTCATTCACTCCATCACTGTCTTGCCAGAGGCGTGTTTACACTACAGTTATAAAACTGCAACATTAACACCCCTCCTTCAGAGTGCAGACACTGTATTGCCCATCTCTAGAAATCAAGTCCGGCCTGCTGGTTTCTCTGAATCCCTTCATGAATATTGTCTTGCTTACACTCCAACAGCACGTCAAGTCCTAAAAACCATTTGTCTCCATTCACTCCTATCAAACACGCTCACGCATGCTTGCTAGAAGTCTAAGCCCCTTGCACACAAAACCTCCTTTACCCCCTCCCTCCAACCTTTCCTTGGCCGACCCCTACCCCGCCTTCCCTCTACTACAGATTTATACACTCTCAAAGTCATTCTATTTTGTTCCAGCCTCTCTGTATGTCCGAACCACCTCAACAACCCCTCCTTAGCCCTCTTGATAATAGTTTTGGTAATCCCGCACCTTCTCCTAATTTCCAAACTACGAATTCTCTGCATTATATTCACACCACACACTACCCTCAGACATGACATTTCCACTGCCTCCAGCCTTCTCCTTGCTGCAACACTCACCACTCATGCTTCACACCCACATAAGAGCCTTGGTATAACTATACTCTCATACATTCCCCTCTTTGCTTTCATGGACAAAGTTCTTTGTCTCCACAGACTCCTAAAATTAAATAAATAAAAATAAAAAAAACCTCATCATCATTCACTCAATCGCTGTTTTCACAAAAGCAAGATATCACCACACCTAAGATGACCGTCTGAATTGCAACACCTCCCCCTCCTCCTGAGTGCAGGCACTGTACATTCCATCTTCTACACAGTTTCCCTGAATCCCTTCATAAATGTTACTTTGTTCACACTCCAACAGCAAGTCAAATTTGTAAAAACCACTTGTCTTTGCTCACTCCTATCTAACATACTCACATAAGCCTGCTGTATGTCCAAATCCTTAGCCCAAAATATTTTGTTCAAGGTTTTATAAGAAACAAGAGAGCCAACCAGATAAACTTCAAAATAACACCTAAATAAGGAGTGAAAATAAAGATAAAATTTGAAGTCTGACCACGTCTAGGTAACAATTATAAAATTATGCAAAAATGGTAATGTATCCGAGTGCAATGGTGCCAAGATTTTCATTGCCGCTGTGAAGCACGATCTTTGACTGTTACAGCTAGAAGAATGCTGGACAGTCTTGTTATGTTTAGGATCAATGTGGATGTGTATATTAAGCAGAGAATAAGGAGTGAAAAATTAAAAGATGATCATTTAGAAAATATGAAACAAAATAAGTTGATCAAGAGTGAGTATTAATCTGGGGTTGATAGGTGTGGAGAAGATCCCAGAAAGGTCTGGAAAGATGTTAAGTAAGTTCAGAGGGGTAGGGGCTTGAACATTCAGCAGGTACGTACGTACGAATGTGTTAGATTACGATGAATGGAGACAAGTGGTTTTTTGCAATTTGATGTGCTGCCAGTATAAGCAAAGAAACATCTAAAACAATAATCAATGAAAGAGGTTAGCTGGACTTCAGTTGTGGAAGTGAGAAGTACTGTGACTTCATTTTGAAACAGACGGCAGTGGTGCCATTTAGTTGATCAACTGGATTGTAATGTCTATGAATTTCCAGAAAGACAGCTATTAAATGCATGGAGAATGTGTTTTCTTCTATGGATCACTCTATTTTGGAGGGAAACAGCCAATGTGTTAAAAGAATATATATACAGTGGACCCCCGGTTAACGATATTTTTTCAATCCAGAAGTATGTTCAGGTGCCAATACTGACCGAATTTGTTCCCATAAGGAATATTGTGAAGTAGATTAGTCCATTTCAGACCCCCAAACATACACGTACAAACGCACTTACATAAATACACTTACATAATTGGTCGCATTCGGAGGTGATCGTTATGCGGGGGTCCACTGTACAGTGGACCCTCAACCAACGATATTAATCCGTTCCTGAGAGCTCATCGTTAGTCAAAATTATCGTTAGTCAAGTTTTCCCATAAGAAATAATGGAAATCAAATTAATCCGTGCAAGACACCCAAAAGTATTGAAAAAAAAATTTTTACCACATGAAATATTAATTTTAATACACACAAACTGAAGATTACATGCACAGTTACATGACACTTACCTTTATTGAAGATCTGGTGATGATTGATGGGATGGGAGGAGGGGAGAGCATTGATCTTCTTAGTGTTTAGAAGAGGAGTGGTATTAGGAGGCAAAAACTTCACCTTAATGAAGCTCATGTCCCTAGAAAGTCGCTCTGCCAAGTCTGAAGGATGACCAGGAGCATTGTCTAATACCAGGAGGCACTTAAGGTCTAATTTCTTTTCAAATAGGTAATTTTTCACATTGGGGGCAAATGCATGGTGTAACCAATCATAGAAAAAGTCCCTAGTGACCCATGCCTTACTGTTCGCCCTCCACAGCACACACGAATTAGCCTTGACGACATTGTTTTTCCTGAACACTCTGGGAGTTTCAGAGTGATACACCAATAAAGGCTTCACTTTGCAATCACCACTAGCATTGGCACACATCAACAGAGTAAGCCTGTCTTTCATAGGCTTATGTCCTGGGAGTGCCTTTTCCTCCTGAGTAATGTACGTCCTGCTTGGCATTTTCTTCCAAAACAGGCCTGTTTCGTCACAATTAAACACTTGTTCAGGTTTCAGTCTTTCACTGTCTATGTACTCCTTGAAGTCCTGCACATATTTTTCAGCCGCTCTGTGGTCCGAACTGGCAGCCTCACCATGCCTTATCACACTATGAATGCCACTACGCTTCTTAAATCCTTCAAACCAACCTTTGCTGGCCTTAAATTCACTCACATCACTAGTTGCTGGCATTTTTTTAATTAAATCGTCATGCAACCCTTTCTACCCTTTTCACAAATGATCGCTTGAGAGATGCTGTCTCGTGCTAAGTAAGTAAGTTTATTCAGGTATACACAAATACAGTTACATATAATTATCATACAATATAATTATCATAACCCAAAAAAGTCAGACAGAGTGACTTATCCGTTTCTCGTTTATCCACACCAATAACAGTCTCTCAACATCTTCTATCACTTGCGATCTCAGTTTCGAAAACATAGTTGCACCTTTGGCAAGAACAGCTTCCTTGATTGCCGTTTTCTTGGCCACAATAGTAGCGATGGTTGATTGGGGTTTTGTGTACAGCCTGGCCAGCTCGGAGACACGCACTCCACTTTCATACTTATCAATATCTCTTTCTCATATCCATAGTAATTCTCACCCTTTTGCTGTAGGGTTGGCACTAGAAGCTTTCTTGGGGCCCATGGTGACTTATTTTGCAGGTGCAATCACTAAAAAGGCTGTGATAATATGAAATGTTCCAATTGTATGCTTGGAAGCGACCGCGGTGGCTGGCTGGCTTGTAAACACTGGCCAGAAGTGGACGCGTCTCAGACGGAACGAATAGTGTTGGTCGAGTTTTTTAGCGCTAATCAAGGCAAAATTTTTGCGATAAAATGTATCGCTAGTCAGATTTATCGTTAATCGATGCCATCGCTGGTCGAGGGTCCACTGTATACGGTACAGTATAAATAAATTTTTCAAACCTTTGCTGATAATGGAAGCAAAGCAAGCATGCCAAGGAAGGTCTAACCATTTACTGACAGAAGAATCTCAGAAGAGGATGATTATTTAATTTTTTTTTGTGGGTTTTACTAAAGCTATTAAAGGATGTCTATAACATTCATATACAGTAGTCTCGAATTTCTGTGCCCTTGGAAAAAATATCTAAATAATCAATTTATAATGTAATTAATTATAAGCTGTAACATACCCAATCAATTCCATTTCGTAGGTGTATACCAATAAATGGCCCTCTAGGTAATGAAGAAATAAAATTTTGAGCTTTACTCAGTATGGTGTCACTCCAGACAAGATACTTGTGCAAGTGTCGATTGCTTTCTTGAACTGGAAAAGTTGCTGGGGCTCCTGTGAAGGCCAACACTGGAAAAAGAAAATACTGTATAAGGAGTGCTACATAACAATTAAAATCACTGTACAAGTACAGTAGAATCCCCGTATCCACTGATTCGATATCGGCACAAAAGTAGAGAAGTTGGCATTTCTTCAAAGCCTAAGGGAAGCAATGAAGTGCTTTCCATATAGGTTTGCTAGTATCCATGGTTTCAGTATCTATGGCAGGTCCTTGGAATGTATCCCCCGCAGATACAGGGGGGTCCTACTGTACTGTTCTCATTTTTCTCTAAAAGTTATTTTAATTTTCTCTCTCTATCTCAGCCACAGTCATAGATGACTAGCAAAATGCATATAGAGTGAACATTTCTTATACAAACCAGGCCATTTTGTTGGTGGGTAGAGCTCATTCCACTGTTCGGCCATATTTTGATACTGAACATCGTAGCTGAGACCACGATAGAATTCAGAACCAACAAAATCTACATTGAAAGTATCCCAGAAAGGTCCAAATGGGTTACCGTCTTTTGCATTGCATCCGGCAGAGTTGTGACGAGGTACATAGCAGAAAGCTGCAAACATAATGAGAATGAATAAATGGTGATCTTCACTGGATGGCTATGTAATAAAAATGTTCTAAGGCAAAAAGTACTTTGCTAAAATATCGGTTATATCTAGTAAATCCATAGATCATTGTCCATGAAGCTCAGTCTCAGATCAGGCCTAAATAGGAGAGGAAATATTACAGGACTATAAAGAAACAAAGGAAAGTAAAAGTCAGTGCATACTGAATATTCATGAAACAGATGAACAATACCAGCAATCCTGCCAGAGTGCAAAATATTAATTGGCTTTCATATCACAATGATATGACAGGATAGTAGTACTTCCCTGGATGGCTGCTGTCTACCAACTTAGTACCTAGTTAATACTTAGTATCAAATTTTTTACATCAGTACAGCTTCCTAGAATGCAGGTTAATTTCAGTGAAGAATAAAAAAATGTAAAAGTTATTAGATAGGTTGTTTTTGCCACACTGACTTTCTCATCATGGCAGGGTGAATGTTAGATTTTACACATTATGTTAGAAATATTCCCCACCATGATAGGATATGTTAGATTCCATATTTTACGGCAAACAAGATGCTCCAGTGTCGAGGACATTCCCCCCCTCCCAAATTCTGATCGGCTAAATATTGGAAAAAAAGATAAATGGTACTTCGACCTCCAAGAGGCTGGGTAAATTTTCTACCCTTTTTTTTTGGGGGGGGGATAGCGTCTCCGATGCCGTAAAATAGGGTACATCTACCCATCTCTGACACCATCCCTCAATACAGGTGATCGAGAGAGAAGTCTCTGAGGAAACCCAATGTACACAGGATAATTTGGCTTGCTCTGTACGGCTTACTCCATCAAAAGATGTGTCTAGAATGTAATCCTAAACTTTGCCTTCCTATAATGCTAGTTGCCTAACCAGCTCCCTTTACTGTACTTTGTTCTTGCATATCTTTCTGGCAAGTCACTGTCTGACTTTTTTGGGTTATCCTAGGTTCTCTACACATATGCTGCTATGTATGATAATCTATGTAACTGTATTTGTGCTTTTTTTTTTTTAACATGTCGGCTGTTTCCCACATAGGCAGGGTGACCCAAAAAGTAAGAATAAACTTGCTTAAGTCCACAACCAGTCAACAAGATAGTGATGTCACACATCACTGATATTTTAGGCTAACCACATTTTTCCAAGCATCTTTATATTATTTATTCCTTCCCAACTATAGTATTTAAGAATAAAAAAATACTCTAGGAAATAAGTTATGCACCACTAAAAATTAAGAAAAAGTTAATAAAAACTGTGACCATAACCAGGAGAGTATTAGCACCTCTGTATCCCAAGGAATTGGTGCCTGTGCCTCAGACATCATATACAGTAGGGCCCCGATTTACGGCATTTCACCTTATGGCGTTCCACTAATATGGCGACACCAAATTATGACCAAAATTTGCTATACGGCAAGCGGTTTTTTAAATACGGCGCGCCCCACCTGGTTCATTTACATTCTTCATGACCATATCTATTATGTCTGGAAACTTTCCAAAATTTCAAGTGTTTTAAAGTTATTGTGAATTTTATATGTACAGTACTCTGATAGAAGAAGAAAAACTTCATAAAACTGGGATGCTTGAATGTGCATGGATGTAGTGCGGATGACAAGAAACATGATTGCTGATGTTATGAATGAAAAAAAGTTGGATGTCCTGGCCCTAAGCGAAACAAAGCTGAAGGGGGTAGGGGAGTTTCGGTGGGGAGAAATAAATGGGATTAAATCTGGAGTATCTGAGAGAGTTAGAGCTAAGGAAGGGGTAGCAATAATGTTGAAGGATCAGTTATGGAAGGAGAAAAGAGAATATGAATGTATAAATTCAAGGATTATGTGGATTAAAGTAAAGGTTGGATGCAAAAAATGGGTCTAATAAGTGTGTATGCACCCGGGGAAGAGAGGAATGAAAGGAGAGAGAAGTTTTGGGGAGATGTTAAGAATGTTAGGAACCTTTCATCAAGTGAGAGAGTAATTTTGGTAGGGGACCGAATGCTAAAGTAGGAGAAACTTTTAGTTTGGGGGTGCCGGGTGAAAAATGAAAAGGGGACCCCCTTTGATTGAATTTTGTATAAAAAGGGGTTTAGTTATGGTAATACATTTTTTTAAAAAAAAGAGGATAAATAAGTAAAACAAATATCATAAGGGCAAAATGACAGTATTTTTTGGGTTTTATGTTTTGGGTTTAGAAAAAACCCTATTGAGTAACTTCAGATTTTCATTTTTATAGAGGGGCCACAATATATCAAAATCACTTTTTAGTTGTGGGCTACACTGAGGTAAAAGGTAGAGGGGGATACAAGGGAAATAGAACATCAGGTAAGAGGGGGAAAGGGTTTTTATAAACAAAAAGGGGAGGAGGCAGTTAGGGTAAGAAAATAAAAAACCCATTGGGGGATAATGGGCTAAGGGAAAAACCATAGGAAAAGGGGGGGTAGGTTTAAAAAAATGTAGTTTTAAAGGGTGTTCAAGGGCAGAAGTTGGGGGTTAAAAAGGAAAGTGGTGGGGGAAGGGGAAGAGGAGCAAATTGGGGTGGAATGATGATGTAAAAGAGTAAAAGGGAAAAAATTTAGCATATGAGAAGTTTTTTAAAAAGTAAAGTGATGCAAAGGAGGGAAAGTAAATGGGAGAAAAAAAAGGGGTTAAAGAGAGGGGGTGAAGCAATGTAAAAAGAACCCCAAATGAGAGAGGGGGGTTTGAGATGTTATAAACAAATTTTGTTAAAAATAAGAAAAATTTTTGGGGAAATGGGATTAACAATTTAAAGGAAAGGGCCTGTTTAAATTATTATTATAATCAAAAAAAAAACGAAAGGGCCAAACAAGGCCCAAATACAGACGGAAAAGGTAAGAAAAAGGGGGGGGGGTTTAGGGGGGGGGGGGATTTGGGGGGGGGGGGGGGGGGGGGGGATAAGAATTTGAGGAACTGTTGAATGTTTATGAACACAGGGAAAACTGTGATTTCGTGTATAGGGGAAGGGGGAATAACATCTTTTAGGAGTGAGGAAAAGCCCGTTTTGAGTGTGGGGGAAAGGGTTTTATGAGGGAGTAGGTAAAATGAAAGGGGGGAAGGCAGCCTTGGGGTTGATGAAACAAAAGATAGAAATGTTTAAAACAGGTGGGGATATAGTTTTGGAGTGGTTGGTGCTATTATTTAATAAATGAAAGGAAGAGGGTAAGGGACCCCAGGGATTTGGGGAGAGCATGCTAGTTCCCTTTTTATAAAGGCAAAGGGGACAAAAGAGAGTCAATAATTATAAGGGGGGTAAACCTGTTGGTAAAACCTGGAAAGTGTAAAGGAGATTTTTTATTAAAGAATTTTTAATTTTAAAAGTAAACGGGGAAATAGGGTACCAGATGAAAAAAGGGGGCTTTGGAAAGGGAGGGGGTGTGTGGAAACCAGTTTTTTACAAAGAAACCCTATAAATGAACAGTATTTAGATAAAAACTAAAGAGTTTTTTGGGGGCATTTATGGGGTTTTGGAAAAGGGGGGTATGACAGGGTGGATAGGGGGGAATGTGGCAGATGTTGCAATGTATGTTATAGGGGGTAGGTTACTGAAAGCATAAGATTTTTACGAGGATTGTGAGGGTCCCAAGGTTTGAGTAAGTAGGAAAGAGGGGGATTTTTCCCATAAAAGTAGGGCCCTTTGAAAAATGTGGGGATGTCACCGTTGTTGTTCAATATATTTAATAGACGGGGGGTTTAAAAGAAGTTTAAAAATGAGGGTCCTTTGGGAAAGTTGGAGTTAAAAAAATAAAGAACCACAAAGTGGGAGTTGCACAGTTGCTCTTTGCTGATGCACCCGTGCTCTTGGGGGATTTTTGAAAGGGTATTGCAGAGGTTGGTGGGAAAGAATTTGGTAGGGTATGAAAAAAAGAAAATTTAAAGTGAAAAACAAACAAAGAGTAAAAGGGAAAGAGGGTAACAAAAAAAATTAGGTGATAAAGATTGGGTAAACAGATTGGAGGGGGGGGGGAGTATGGAGGACGTGAATGTATTCAGATATTTGGGAGTGGACGTGTCAGCTGATGGGTCTATAAAAGATGAGTTGAATCACAGAACTGATGGGGGGAAAAGGGTGAGGGGTGCACTTAGGAGCCCTGGGGAGACAAAGAACTTTGTCCTTGGAAGCAAAGAGGGGAATGTATGAGAGTATAGTTTTACCAACGCTCCTGTATGGGTGTGAAGCATGGGTGATGAATGTTCCCAGCGAGGAAAGGCTGGAGGCAGGGAGATGTCATATCTGAGGGCAATGTGTGGTGTGAATATAATGCAGAGAATTCGTAGTTTGGAAGTTAGGAGGAGGTGCGGGATTGCCAAACTGTTTTTCCAGAGGGCTGAGGAAGGGTTTTTGAGGGGGTTTCGGACATGTAAGAGAATGGAGTGTATCATCTGTAGGGGGAAAGGGAAAGGGCCCGGGGGTAAGGGTTGGCCTAGGAAAGGTTGGAGGGAGGGGGTAAAGGAGGTTTTGTGTGTGAGGGGCTTGGACTTCCAGCGGGCATGCATGAGCGTGTTTGATAGGAGTGAATGGAGACAAATGATATTTAATACTTGACATGCTGTTGGAGTGTGAGCAAAGTAACATTTATGAAGGGATTCAGGGAAACCAGCAGGCCAGACTAGAGTCCTGGAGATGGGAAGTACAGTGCCTGCACTCTGAAGGAGGGGTGTTAATGTTGCAGTTTAAAAACTGTAGTGTTTACTAAAGCACCCTTCTGCCAAGACAGTGATGGAGTGAATGATGGTGAAAGTTTTTCTTTTTTGGGCCACCCTGCCTTGGTGGGAATCAGCCAGTGTGTTAATAAAAATAATAAAAAAAAATACTCTGATAATTATAATTATGTGTACCTGTACCTAAATATACTTAAACATTGTGCTGGTGTGCAGGTACACATTAAAATTGCTAAGTCTCTCTCTTCTCATGACGCCAATGCATGTACTACATAATAATAATCACTCTTGGGCACATT